AATGCTCTTTTGAAACAACAGCAAAGAGAAAATGTGAAATAAAGGGTTTGAAAGGACTTTAGAACTGCTGCTCGCTGGTAAAGTGCTTTCAGATCACCGTTAAACATGCAACGTTATCGTGAATTAGTCTGCAAAAAAAAACCCAAAAAAAAAAAACCTTGCAGAGCTTTGGGGCCAGGCACACTCTGCATCAATGGTGTCCTCTGTTACTCTTTAAAGAGTCAAAACAGAGCTCCCAGCCTTTAAACCACACCCCAAACCAAAGCAGAGGCAAACAGGGGACAAAAACACTCTTATTTTCAAATGTAACGTCTAAAACTCAAAGGATAGAAGCAAAATGTTGCTGTGCACTAAATAAAGTAAATCAATGCAAGTTGCAATAATTTGTGTGCCATTTATACATTTTTATGAAAAACTACAAAAGTATATACACTTTCCTAACTTGAGGGAAAAAAATTATAATCCCTTCCATCAGTTTGAATGATTACGTTCGACTATGAATGACACCACATGGTGTCTGAGCCAGAGTTTCATAAACCAGGACAAAGGGATTCACTTAGCTTTGAGAAAAGTACATGCACAAAGACTTCAGTTCAGCTGAAGGCTCCATCTTACATCCCACTTAAGAATGCCAAACCAAGGCCACTAAATTAAAAAGAGGCCTGGCCTATATTTGGACTGACCATCAGTGCAATGGAAAAGTCAGTGGACTCTGTACCAGGAAACTTGATATTCTACTCAAAAGCAATGCAATAATTACCAGAATGAAAATTTCCACCCCTTGCTTACTTGTGTTGCAATCACCATGTCTAAAGGCACACACACACACACGCTCAACCTTGATATGTTCACCAGATTCTAAAAATCAAAGCCTGAAGCCTGTCTAGACATCAACCTCCTCCTACAGAATCTACTTTACCAGAACAATAACCGAGACAAAGACTCACAAATATGACACGACACTGAAAGACAACCCTCATACTCAAACACAGCCCAAGACAGGGATACTTTGAAATGAAAGCCGTTATTACTGAATTTCTTGTTTGCCTGCTCACGTCTCGCAGCTTCTACACACACGCTCCTAGGATTACATCTCCTAGAGGCAAAGGGATGAGGAAAGGGACAAAGGAAAATCCCAGGTATGCAACTGCCTGCTATCAAAAAAGTTAATAACTGCATTTCTCTTGACACGAGGAGATTATTAAATTTGAACCCTTGCTGACTGACCAAATAAAGTCCTTCCCTCCTCCTTCCTCCCGGACATGTGCTGCTGTGCTGCTTATAAAGACGACAGCACAGTCACCGGGGCACGTCTGTTTAAAAAGCTTCTCTGAACTGCCTTGAGTTCTTGTTGCTGAATTACTCAGAGTTCCTCCAATGCTCCACTACACAGACTCAAAGATCAAGATCAATTTATTGAATCGTAGGAAGCAGCCAAGCATGCTGCATCCTCGTCCAAAGTGCTGAGTGCTGCAGTAAATATAAAGCTGCTAACACCATTAGCCTAAGACCTGAAAGGTACCATCTTCTTCCATGTGTCACTGGAAATGTGAAACCAGTAAGAGGAAATGGAAACCACAGAAAAGCCATTTATCAAAGTCATTTTCCTCCTCATTGCTCCAGAAGACTGTGGCCTAGTGCGCAAACTGTGCATGTGTGCAAATATAGTATGATCATATATATTTATACATGGATACATATTTTGCAGGATGGCTCTGAAACTCTGCTGAGGAGCATAATCAGAAAATATGGTATACGTATGAACTGCTTTTCAATTTCTGAACAGCGCTGCAGGGGAAGAAAAGCCTAGCATGCTCAACAAGTATGACTGTTTAATCTTTAACCCACTGATTAATTTAACATCCAACGTGCTTCCCCACAGAAAGAACACATGCACACACAAACCGTTTCCCTATTATTAGAGATTGAAACAAAAAAAAGTGCTTTTCATTTTCATCTAAACAAATATAGAATTAATCTCATTCAGACTCACTATTTTTTATTAAATACAATACACACAGCCTCATAGACACTTTAGTTTTATTTCTTTTAAGCTGCTAATGAACTAAATATGAACTTCATTTATAAAAAAAAAAAAAAAAAAAAAAAAAAAAATTCAAGATAACATATGTCCAAAACCACACAAATCAAAATGATTAAAATGCTCACTTAAATTACATCCTACACATAACCCTTCCGTTGTCAGTTAAATCCCTAATAGGTCATCATAGGGGCAGTCAGACACACAACAAGGACAGCAGGGAACTTTGAGGGATTTAAGCCTGTAGGTGGTCTCCGAGAGTCTGAGGCTGCAGACACAAGTGGCTGAACAATGGCGTGACTAGGAGGTCAAAAGAACAACACCCATACAAACAGGGATGATTAATCAAACGCCATGGCCCTACAAGAGTTGCATTGTTGCCTTACAACGTTCACGTAAAGCTAACAACCACACAGATTACACAGTACTATATACACCCAAAACAACACCCGTTTACTTACATTAGCAAGGTCTTGAACTGAATTTGTCTCATATTAGTGCAACAAATTATCCCTCACAAGTAGGCAGGGTCAGTACTTAAATCTTAAATCACAAAAAGCTAAATTTTTCAGAAAAGGATGTTTTTTAATTAATATAAATAAGCAGGAAGCACATGCTGCATCCTGTGCTGAACACCTTGGAAAAATGACAAACCTTACTACAAATGCAACGTAAAGTAAATCAGATATCTGTATATTGTGCATGCACTCAACTAAATACATATATTTTTAATCTACCTCCCGGAAGATGGGGGCATTATTGAAGCCTAAATCCAGGATGTTAAAAAACAGGATAGATTGGGTCACTTCCAGTTAATGTCATTAACACTTCCTGTCATCTCATCATTCATTTACTCTGCTAGTCATTAATCAACCTCAGAGGAAACTGGCACACATTGATTCTATGGCACATAATTTGGCAAGTCCTTTTAAAGATGCCCACTGGAGCTTTTGTGGCCTTATAATGTAAAAGTCTGCACAACAGACTTTGCAACAGAAATTAGAAATGGCAGTTTTAATGACTAATTCTTACACAAGCCCAGCACACTCACAACCCATGAGGATACAAGTCAATCCTAAACCTGTAGTGTGGGAATTTGTGTCTATCAGGTTGACTGCTTGGCTAGATCGACATTCCTAAACTCATTGCACTGTTGCAACAGCATGTTTGCGCACACAACTCCTGATTACCATAAACACAGTTCCAGCAACAATGTGAATCATATTCTCTGCGAATCTGTCAACCTTGCAGGTTTCACAACACACATGCATAACCGTTATAAACAATACGGAGCAGACACTGAGGAATGCTGTGGGACAGCACGCTAAACTACACAACCGTAACAGCAACCTACCATGGGGCAACTTATGCATTTGAGGTTGGGCAATAAATCAACCTGTATTACAAAACTGTTTTCCAAAGATTACAAAAAACAAAGCACCTTTAAAAACATCTTGCCACAGGAACGCTGGGTGACACTGGTAGTTTCACAGAAATGCTGATTAATGTGTTCTGTCCTTTTAGATACATGAATTTATCTCAAGTTAAAGAACATCCACTTTAAAAAACAAAAAACAAAAAAACCCCACTGAAATCAAGTAACCCTACCTCATCTTAACACCTTGAATTTAAACTGCATGATACATAAAAATACATGACTGTCATGCTCACCAGTATTTCTTGGAAACACCGGGTGTCTCAACATATGTTAAAGAATATCAAAAAGTGTTCAGCCCATTGTGTTTCGTGCATTAATTCAGCTGAAAATATCATTCTATGCCAACTAAACTTTATATTATATGTGAGATACAGAGCACTGATAAGCAGAGAAAAAATGTACACTCTACCACAGAGATAGGGGAGGATTACAGATTCAAATATCTGGCATCCGCACTTGGAAGTGGGCTGCAAACCAAAGTTGTTCGACACAAATCAACCATGTGTTGTCCCACATATGCAAGCAGTCAAGAGATTATCCAGGTTGAGTATGCACAAATATATCAAATATATCACAGCATTAGTGGGATTTACTGCTTGTGACCAGTTCACCACACATGTTTTCAGTTTTGTCATATGGAAGTTAGCACAGGGTCAACACTGCAATGAAATGTATTTGACGAGCAGCAGACAGTAACTCAGCAGTATACTATACTGTTGCAGTATTTGATAAAGTATTTACTAAGTGTGAGCCTTTATTTACTGATATGATCAACTGCAAAGACTGTAGATTCACAAGTAATGATTAACCATGAACGGAAACTGAAACGTATATAGACCTGATAACATGCTAAGCAGTAATCTACTTCAGTATGCGTAACTTGGTCTACTTATATCAACTTCAAACCTCTGACCAAAGTTTATAAGAGTATCTTTTAGGCAGTAAGTTAGATTTCCTCATTTTTCTAGGACATTTACACAGAATGAATCAATATCAGGACAACTGCCTTATTTTTCTCACTGTCGGATGAAACTCTCTAAAATTAAGAAAATTGTTCAAGACGGAAATGGTACATAAGCAGATTTAAGTTAAAAATATATAGCAGACACTATAGACGAGTAACCACATCACTGTTTTACATTCCTGACGTCTCTTTAAATTTACTGGGCTACTTTTGACATCTGGATGGAGGCTGATACCACATCACTCACATACACATCTGCAAATACATCTCCGTTTATACAGCCAACTCTTTATGTGGCATGAGCTTGTGTGTATGCTGAGCTAAACTTGACGAGTGTGTTAACTGATACATTTTTGGTGGTGAAAGGTGGTGAAAGCCAACTCCTGTTTTAGGCATAAAGGAACATGGGGTATGTATGAAGAGCTAAATTTAAGGGATTTTGACCCTTATCACTAAATCCACACATTTTTATGACATATCTGCAATAAATAGCGCCTAACAATCACTTCAGTGTGGCTACTTTTAACTTCTGATAAAGCAAAGTAGTAAAATCTTACCTGATAGTAGGATTTAATCTGCCTGATGAGAATAGAAAGGTTCTGGATGCGCAGTGTGGAGTCATTGTTCACTTTCTTGTTGGTGCGCTGCACTGTGGCTTTGGGATTTCTGTAGGAGAAATGGAATAAGGGTTATTCAACAATCCAAGTTTGTAGCAAAGATAAATATCAGGTGAAGATTTCTTTGTTTCTAAGAATTGCCATTGTATCATTGCTTTATGTAATAGAATGGCTCTGTATATAAGCCGTAGAGTGACAGTAGACCCTTGCTTAAATAAACAGAGTGCCATAACAATGTTAAAAGAAACCACAACCAACAAAACATTAGTGGCACCAAAGTTTCAGACAGTTTCTAGGGTCCAAATTAAAGTACTAAAGTTCAAAGCTCTTGAAGTATTTAAACATTTGGGTTACACCAACTGCGGGGGAAAATCACTGAGATGGGGCATAGTGGCTCTGTTGATGGGACGTGGAAAACCAGAGGGGGGGGGGGGGGGGGGGGGGGAGTGAAGCAAAATTAATTTTATAATCACTTTCAGGGAAAATGCACAAACAAGAGCTTCCTTTTGCTTACTACATGTTTTACTTCGATTTGGGGAATGTCAGAAAACATTTGATACCCACTAGGCTACACTGAGGCGTTGTATATCAGCAGTTCTGTGACATTTAACTGTGATCATTGCCTTCATGCTGCCTGCAGAGTCAAGAGGCTGTGTGCCCTCGGTGAGTGTTGCCTAAGGGATGTTAAACGGCGCATGCATCACAACTTATATTATCACAGGCGTCAACACGTTTTAAGGAGCCAAACATTCCACATCCACACAGAACCATTTCACATAGTAACTGATAGCAATCCAAACAATTTGCACATCTGTGAATGTTACCAAGCCTAATTACAAACATTCACCAATTAAGTCTACTGGTAAGATAATTAATCAGACAAATCCTTAGCAACTTGTATCCTCCCATCATTGGAAAGCCTGACATGCTGACCTGCTGTCAAGCTCAGAGTCTGCATCATTTATGGCTAATAATCTCCCAGGTTTTAACAATAAAGTTCTTTGATAGGATAAACGACACTGATTGGAGGGAGAGAAAAAAGAAGTTCAACCAGCTAGTTAGAGGTTAAAAAGATTGATACTATACAAGTCTTGTGTATTTAATGTGATATCTACTGATCCCCTGAGGGAAATTCCAGTTTCCTTGAGTCACAGAACTGAGGCGATGACAAAATGGCAGCCCTTGAGCAACTAGAGAGAAAGTCTTAATTTCACATTTGCTAATGCCAAATGCATCTATATATTGCTGTAACATTTGTCTCAAATACTTTTCATACAGTTTATTTGTTCTACATAATGAGTGTAGCTTTAGATGGGCAGCATTTCCTTCAGTAATCCCACTAAAAGTTCCACTAAAAGTCCACCCGATGAGTCAATGGTTTGCAGAAATCTTTACTTTTTTATTTATTTATTTATTTTATTACCCTTAACTTTAGTAATTGTTTTCTGTAAGACTTTATCAGTCTCTCACATTCTTGTGAAGGAATTTTGGCTCGTTCTTCTTCAAAGCATTACTTCAGTTTACTCAACTGAGGCCTGCAGGCTTTCTTTTATGCACAGCTCATTAGCCGGCATACTCAGGATCACTGTCCTGTTTTTCATGACCCAATTTGGGCCAACATTTAGTTTTGGGACACATGTCACATTTAACTCTAGAATACTTGGTAAACAGAGGGGTTCACGGTCAAGTCATTCACTGCAAGCTGGCCAGAGCCAGTGGATGCAAAACAAGGCCAAATCATCACCCCTCCACTACCGTGCTTCTGATATGCTGTTCTTGATTTTACCAAACATGGTACTGTGCATTACATCTGTCCAAAGGTCATTGTTCCACACATTGTGGTTTGTTGATGCAAACCTGAGCTGTGCTGCCATGTTTTTCTGTCAACCCTTCTTAATGAGTAATGCTTGTGGTGTCCGAGACATAGCTCTGGATTTTTAGCGGTTCCTCTGTGCATTGCACAGTCTGAACTTGGAGTGAATTTCTCAGACAATCTTCCATCCCTTAAAAGATTGTGGTATTGTGTTAACAACTTCACAACTTCAATGATGAATAGACAAATGAACTGCTAAATCATCTGCTTTATTAAAAGGTGTTCACACTTGCTAATGATCAGTTTATTAATTGCAATACATCAGTAGCACCTGGATGCTCCTTACTTTCTTAATTCATATTGAAACAGTAAGGGTGTATTTAGGAGCCTCGTGAAAACTTTTTTTGCATAAGACTAAGTAAAACAGAACCACATCCGCTAAGGCCAATAGATCACACACACACACCACTTTAAAGTGAAATGCAATTTAACACTCATGCTAATTTAATTTTAAACCGATAATTAACCAGCTACATTTTATACTAAACTTAACTCATTTTAACAAACTTGCCACACATTAATTTTGCTGTTCCTATAGATAAAAATAATGAAATAATTTACTTAACAATATTTGAGGCAACACATTTTGATGATCCATCAAAATGATGAACCATTTCACCATTCAGCTTCCATGTGTTATAGCTATATAAAGTAAAATACCTCCTATCCTCCATAAGGGAAACATATCCAAGTAATTAAGTCGTGGTATTTTCCTTACCATCATGCCTTACACCAACAATGCCAGAGAGCAGCTCTGATTATCGTGATATGCACTTTAAACCTCATTGTGTATGCTCCATGACCTATTTATGAGGGTCAACATGGCTGCCTTGCGCCTGAGAAGGATCCTGACTGCTTATAAATGTATGCATGCATGCATGTAGTGTGCAGCACATGTGTCGTCATGCATGTGTGTGCATGACTGCTTCTGAAACACCCAAGAATCGCAAAGGAATGTCTGTATCTGCACAGCTCATAATTTGATTACAAAGATATAATCAAGATTTATTTTTCCTGTTTAGAAGAAGACGCTGAATGTCAAGGGTTGTATTTATCTTCAGCAACATTCATTCATTGGTGACTGGTTAAATCCTTTTCTTGTTTTACCACCATTACATTCTCCTTGCACTGAGCACCATTAAATATACCTCTAATAGAAACAAAACAAAGCATACTTGCTTAATACACAGTAATATAAAGACTCCAGTTATCAATTTAGACCCATTTATGAATTTATTTAGAAGTCTTGGGTTTATATGAAAAGTCTCTCTCTCAAATGGCTGCAGTGTGGATGTGTTAATTCGGCTTTTCAACAGCCTCCACCCTGAAATACACTCTCTCTCTCTCTCTCACACACACACACACGGCTCTTTTTAATACCGTGCTAAACGAAGTCACATGACCTTGCCATCTCTCCCCTCCACATGCACACACAGCCCCTTTCGAGGTCCATAGTAGGGGGTCTATTTAACCCATTAATTAAAAAGCACAGAGGAAGCTGTAATCCTATCAGTGCGAGGAGGGTAATGTGGTGAACGAGGTGTGTGAGAAATACTTGGAGAAGGGGAAAAGGAAGAGAAAAAAAAATGTTGTTACTATTCATGCATTCCATCATCATCATCACGCTCAGCTGACAACATGGCAGTCACCATCTCATGACAATAACATGCAATCCACTACTCATTTCTCCTGCACAATCTCTGATGTTACTAGTCTGGGACAGGCTGACACCCCTGTGGATCAGCGGGCGACTAAATACAGGGGCTTAACGGCAGTTAAAAAAAAAAAAAAGAAAAGAAAATCCAACTTATTGCCTCCCCCTCCCTGTTCCTGCTGATACAATAAACCTAAGACTTTAAATAGACAAACAGATTAAGGATGAACAGGCAAAGCCAGCTCAAGAGGCAGCAACACAGACAACTAGTCAGCAAGTCAGCCAGACGGCCAGTCAATAAGTCGGTTCATGGTTGCCGTCGATAGGCACTGCAGCCTTATGCAGAGCAGGCGGCCACTGGGCTTCCTCCTCTCATCTGCAAGCTTTGATTGGCTGGGTAGGTTAGAGAGTAGTGTTAGCCTATATATGACAGGCTACATTAGAGTCAACGTGGGCAGCCAGGCACATGCCCGTACACACACCAATACAGAAAGCAGCCTAAATGCACGTACACACAAAGCCCAGGCCCCATTTGGCCACGTGCTGGAGATGGAGATTGTGAGCTGTACTGTCCAAACACAGCAGGAGGGGTGTGTTTGTGCCTCCATGTGAGAGAGAAGACAAACATACACAGGAGGCCGGTGAAAGAAATCTGGGGGATGAGCTCTTATTAGCAGCCGTGTTAAGGCTGATGGTTTGGTTCAGGATAATTTCAGGTCGGTGTAAAGAATTAAGGCTGTCTGACACGCTCTCGGTTTGTTTTTTCCACCACTCAGAAGCACAAAGAAACAGCAGAAGCCTTTAAGATGTCAAAATTTTAAACCAGTTGGTTCAAATACCACTGAGGGCATGCAACCAACCCAGTAACACAGATCTAGACCTTATATGGCTTGTAGAACTGTTAACTAACAGGCTGATAGAAAATGATACTCTTTTCTACCATTTATCCCGGCTACTTTCAGTGCGAGGGAGTATAAGTACTACTTTGAGACACTCCAAAATTACTGAGCTCCTCCCGAGTCCAAATACCCTTTGGAGGAAGCTCATATTTACCACTTGTATTTCTGTGATCTGAAGCCTCGACTTTCCTTGTCTGTGAGTAAACACGAATCCACCTGAATCTGAACGGCGTAATATTTGTGCACACCCAGGTGCCTGCCTGTTTTTTGTCCGCAGGGAATTTACATTACAATGCACCGACGACGCATCCGCCCCAGGCAGCGCATTTCCAAGGAGGATAACAGGAATCATTGCATGCTTGTTGGGTCTCCAGCTGTCCACGTCCACAATGGAGCATAGTCAAGACTTCATTCTGTCGGACACTAATCCAATATTTGTGGACATGTAGGAATATCGGTCAAATATTAGGGAATTGATTAATGAATAGTAAACAAATAGGATACCTTCATTAAAACATCACACTTACTATGAAAGCAAAGAAAGTTATTAACAATGATCCATACTAACAAGTCAGCTATAAAATGAGGAAATCAGCACTTATCTTTTAGATTTTGGAGTGCAT